GAACCGCAGCCGCCAGGCCTCCCTGTCCATCACCAACTCCCGGAGTCCACCCAAACCCATGTCCATCGAGTTGGTGATGCCATCCAACCATCTCATCCTCTGTCGTCCCCTTCTCCTCCTGCCCTCAATCTTTCCCAGCATCAGGGTCTTTTCAAATGAGTCAGCTCTTGGCATCAGGTAGCCAAAGTATTGGAGTTTCAGCTTCAGCATCAGTCCTTCCAATGAACACCCGGGACTGATCTTTAGGATGGACTGGCTGGATCTCCTTGCAGCCCAAGGGACTCTCAAGAGTCTTCCCCAACACCAAACACCTAAAAATCCACTGCAGTGTTCTCAGAGTGTAATCCTGGGAAGCCATGCTGGAAACCTGTACTTGTTCCTTCCTGCGGGATCAATGAAACCCTGAGAAACAGTTCTGAATAGAGACATCAAGTCTTAAGGCAGGATTGGCCAATACCATTCCTTTCTCCAGTTCCTTCCCTTTTGGCCTGAGATCAATTTTCAAAGAACCTATGTGGTGACCATTCTCTCCATAATGTTACACATTATGGTTTATGCCAGAATATTCTACTCCATGCCCCAAATGCTCAACCACAAAGTTCTTTCAACTCCACCTCATGTCCCAAGTATCCCGTGGCTCCTTTTTTTTTCTTTCTTCAAATCTTTTTGCCACCAGTGGACCAACACATCCTGCAATATTTAATTCATCTTTATGCCATCCACTCCCACCCCCCAAATGACTAGTGCTACTCCTTGTAGGCAAATGTGTGTGCTCAGTTGCTCATCATGTCTGACCGACCCTTTCAGAGCCCATGGACTGTAGCCCACCAGGCTCCTCCGTCCATGGGATTCTCCAGGCAAGAATACTGGAGTGGGTTGCCATTTCCTCCTCCAGGGGATCTTCCCGACCCGGGACTGAACCACAGTCTTTGTCTCTTATGTCTCCTGCGTTAGCAGGTAGATTCTTTACCACTGCACCACCTGGGAAGCCCTGCAGGCAAGTATCTGATCCAAAAGCAGCCATGACAGAAAACAAATATCAGAATATACACATTACCCAACTTTGCTCTGAAATAAAATATATTCCAGCAAAGCTGTGAGAGCTCCCAAATAAGTGAATTCAATCTCAATCTATGATTCATTCCTCATTAAATTTCATATAAAATTCAGAGATTCAGAGACAGACCCAAAAACCTTATGTGAGTCTCTGTAACGGAACCCAGCCCTGTGGCTATAAATGATAAGGAGCTCTAAATGTAACAGAAGCCATGGCTTCTCGAAAGAGTTTGTCCCTTCCCACCATCCAAACATGAGTCTACCTCGTGGTCATCTCCCAACTGGACCATTTGCAATAACATCCTAACCCATCCCCCTGCTTCCAGTCTCGTTGACCTGTTCTCTTCACTGCAGCCAGAGTGCTTCTTTTAAAATACAAATCTGTCCACATCATCCTTCCCTAATGACTTATCATTACACCTGGATCAAAAATCTGCCTCTTTTTCCCTGACCCATATGCTGTCCACACCTCCCTGACTCTGTGTGGCCATTTTCTCCCAGTTTGCTTGGCCTGTGGCTTTTCCCCAGGTAAACCTCAAGAGACTCTGCACTTGCTCTGTCTCCTACCAGGACTGCTCCTGCCCGAAACACCAACTGGTATCCCCCTCATTTGATTCAGGTGTCTATTAACGGTCACCTCATTAGAGGCCTTTTCTAAACACTTGATCTAAAATACCACTCCCTCCCCACTGTCTCCAAAACTTGCTAACCTTTTAGACTGCTTTCTTTTACTCCATTTCTCTTACCCACCTGGTAGTATATATTCATTTGTTCACAAACTGTTTCACCCCGGTGAGAATACAAGCTCCGTGTGAGCATCAGGGGCCTCTGAGCACTGCAGCAGCCCCAAGGTCTACCACAGTGCCTGGCATACACGAGGGTCTCAGCGAATGAATTTTAAACAAGCACTTTCTATGTGCCAGACTTTAGATGAGGTAGTGGGATACCAAGATGAATGACAAATAGGATCTGGTCTTTTCCTTTGGGGAACTTAAGTCTAGCAGTCAAGGAGACACACACACACAGGAAGAATAGAACGGAATGTGACATGAGCTTGGAGGCTTCCAGGGAAACCGCTGAGGAGAGAAGAAACAGATGAGGTCGAACAGCCTGGGGCCAGATTAGGAAGGACCTTGAGCTTCAGGCTAGGGAACTGGGCCTCCATCTGAGCACTCACTATACATCACCAGGTAGGAATGAAAAGAGGTAATGAAACTGCAATTAGAATTGACAGAACTTAGTGACTATTTACATGACAGGAACTGAGAAGTTGTAGGTTTCTAGGAAATGCCACTGCCTACATAGAAGGAAGAAGTTGAAAGAAAAAGATGATAAATCTGATTTTAGAAAAGTTGAGTTTGAGTGGAGGCTAGGGAGAGGGGTCAAGTGTCAGAAGAGTTGAGCACAGAAAAAATGAGAGGGTTACTGCTTTTAAATAGAATATTCCATAGCCAGAAGGATCCATTTTCCCAACATGCTGAATAACAGACTGCTACAGTGCCACAGACTGCTACACTGCCACAGCCAAATAACTGGAAAAAGGGTTTCTCTCTGCACTAGGAAGCAGTTCCACCTTTATGAGGGCCAGGGAAAGGGAGCTCATTAATAGCCACTGCTGGGTGTGTCCACCTCTGTCTTTCTTCCTGCCTTTCCCAGGTCTGGTGTGCCACACACACTCCAGAGAGGTCTCAAGGAGGGAGATGGGAAGCTAGGGATGTGCCCCAGTAGTAGGACAGGAGTGGGGATGCTGAAGACGCTCATGAAAACAACTGGGTTATCCTGCCAATGTGGAAACCAGAGAGAGGACTTTAAAGAACCTTTAAAGTTGGACATATTCTGAACTGCAAATGCTCTGCAGCTAATAACACTCAAATGCAACTGGCTCATTCAGTGATTTTGTAATCAAATACAACACAGTGGTATAGAGCAACAGAAATCATCTAGACTGAGAGGTCTTTATTGTATCTGTGAGCAAACCAAGGCTCCTGAGATTTGGAGATTCATCCACTCTATCCAGCATGCTAGCACATGGCTGGGACTGGAGCCCAGGCTGCCTGTGTCCCAGCCTTGGGTTAATTTTGCCCCCGGCATGAATTAACTGATTTACGGATGTAGAACAATTTAAATATACAAATGACTACAGTATTAGTAACAAATACCAGTAAAACACAAAATCAGAAAGCTTCAAGAGAAATAGATTTGAGGAAAAGTCCCTGCTGAGAGAAATACAAATAGTAATATACTTTAAAGAAATTATCCCTGTGGTTAGGACATTTCTTGGAACAAGAATAAAACTATTCAAAAGTCACAGTTCTGTGAAAGGTTTTGATGCGTACACACAAGTACATAAGTGTTCTGTTCTGGGCAGTAAATTATTAGCTGGCATGTAAGAATTTTGATAAAATCCAGAAAACAAACTCATATAAACAAAACAACAAAAATCAGGAAGACCCCAGTAAACCTAATTTTGAGTTGACCTTGCCTTTGTTAAGGGAAAATATACAAACATTAATTTTTTTTCCCCTAATGAGCTTCTAGGGAAAAAATTTTGAAAGTCAAAAGCAGAACTGAAATCTGACAGTCAGAAGAATGTAATTAGTATATTTTGAGCATCTCATATTTCTATGGCCTATTCTTATCTATTCAGCCTCTTAAAACTAAAGCGCACAAGAAACAGTCTTTCTTCCACCAACTCAAACGCATCCCAGACCGTTGCTCCTGTATCAAATTTAACTTAAACTCTGTTGTTGTTTTCCAGTCGTTCAGTCATGTCCAACTCTGTGCAACCCAACGGACTGTGGCACACCAGGTTTCCCTGCTTAAACTTGGGATAGCCAAACCAGCCCCCAGATAAAAACTGGCTACTTAAATAGCTTCCTATATACACAACATATAGTCCTTTACTGGCAAAGACTCAGGAGTTGCTTTTATTTCCACTTGTAGATATCTAATTTATAAGGGAAGAAAACACAGACTTCATAAAACACACAAGAAAAAACTGATAATTTCCATTAAAGTTCGACATAAATTCTCAGTCTGCATTTTGTTTTCTTTATTTAAGATGATTTCCTTAGTATTCAACCACACTGTGGGTCATGCAACATAGTCTACCAGGGAGAAACTCAGTTCCTTAGCAAACCAATTTCCAACTCCCATGCGTGAAAGCTATAAAGATGTTCTGCTAATGGAAAAATCAGACACCCGTGAGGAGGGCAAAGTATGTGTTCAGTTTGCTATATGCAACTCAAGCAAACAACTTTGCTGCATTGAGTTTAGAGCCTGGGACATGAAAGCCACTTTGGATTCACCTGAAACTAAAAGGAGATGACTATTTAAAATCCTGAGAAACTTGAATGGAATACTGTTCTAAATGCCTTACGTTCCAAAGAAAGGTGGAAAGCCATGCAGGTTCATCCACATCCCACCTAAAGTGGGTATCACTCTCCACTAGATCATGTCACTCTGGACTAGCTGTTCTGAATTCTATGTGTGAAGCATCTTCAGATACATATTACTAAGGTTCAGATATCTGATTCTGTGTGGAAAAAGCTATAGGGCCATTCATAGACCACAGGCCAACTGTCAATCATTCATTTTGATGGGTTAAACACACCAAGACTGGGTAGTTTTCTATGGTTTAATAGCCTGTACTCTCTGAAGATGTCTGAGGGTTTTCCTTCCTGTGATGTGAAAACAGAAAAACCTTATCTTTAACAATCCTGCTCATCACTCTGTATGAATCTGGTACAAAACATAGCACTTTCTTAAAGCTGCCAGAGCTTTGGTTGGTTTAACAGACTATGCGGTTTAAAAAAGAAAGAAAGAAAGAAAGAAATGTGCTTTGATTCCTACTGCTTGATCAATTTCGTTTCCCAATAATGAATATTAAACCTCTGCCGTGCCACCTCCCAATCCCTGAAACTGCAGACTTGTGCTTTACTTACTTGTACTTTAAGAGCAGCCACTGAATTAACCAGAGTCCCACAAGGATCATGCCGTTAATTTCACAAATAGAAAAGGCCCACTGCACCCGGTTAAAATGGTCAAAAAACGTGTCCGGTAGTGGAGGCTGCACCTCCTTGGGAGGTACTCGTTCATGGACGACCGAGATCATCACTGTGGTGAGAACAAAGCAGGAAAGTGCATAAAGAAAGGCCAGGAAAGTCTTGCCCCACTCCATGGGGTACTGGGAGCGTTCCGGTTCTGGCATGGGGATCTTGATCATTTCCTTCCTGTACCCATTGGGCATCCCGTTGGGTTTGACCTTGATGCTGAAGCTGCCGTGAGGGGCGGGGCTGCCGGTGCCAATGCTGAGGTGCCCGTTGGCATGGCCATTCTTGTGTGCTTCCAAGTGGTGCTCCATCTTCAGGGTCTCTATCATGTGCAAGAGCCGCTGCCCGTTGTCAGAGGTGACTAGGCACAGCGGGGGTTTCGTGAAATCCTCCTGGGTGAGGCTGATCAAGTCCCGGCCTGTGAAATGTTCCAGAGGCTCACAGTACTCTGGCATAGCATTCTCCTGCAGCCAGTCTGCCACCTTCTCGGGTGACCAGTAGACCACTTCCTTCATTGTGCTGGCAGACAATGTAAGGACCCCTGCTTGCTCCCAGCGGGTCAGCAGTCACCGCTCCGACAGGGCAGGACACTGTCCCTCCACGCTGCGTTCATCCTGTCAGGCCTCATAACGGAGCTGTGTGGCGAGATGGTCAGGGCAGGTTTTAAACACCTCATGTATCTGTCCAGGGTTCTTGAGAGCCCGAGCATTAATTCACCTCATTTCTGAAGAAGATTCTTCCTTCTGCGGAGGCAAGAGAAACAAGTCAAGCTACTGGGACTTTCAAATTAATCCCTCAAGATTCATAACCTTCACATGCATAAGGAAAGCGGAAAACCAGTTACTGGTGGAGTCCATTGTTTTCAAACATATATCAGTTTTAAGGAACCAATGACTACCTGGTTGCTGCTGCTGCTGCTAAGTCACTTCAATCGTGTCCAACTCTGTGCGACCCCATAGACAGCAGCCCACCAGGATTCGCCATCCCTGGGATTCTCCAGGCAAGAGTACTGGAGTGGGTTGCCATTTCCTTCTCCAATGAGTGAAAGTGAAAAGTGAAAGTGTAGTCGCTCAGTCGTGTCCGACTCTTAGCGACCCCATGGACTGCAGCCTACCAGGCTCCTCAATCTATGGGATTTTCCAGGCAAGAGTACTGGAGTGGGACTACCTGGTTAGTATTTCCCAAAAGAGTCATTAAACTGGACCTGAGATGGATCAAGTCAAAAACAGTGGTAAGTTTGCTAAGAAACAATTCAACAGTGCTTTGAACATTGCTCAGCACTGATCAGGGATTATTTTTGTGCTTATTATGTGGTTCCTGAGATCAGCTGAAAGACTGCAGCAAATCTGCTTAATCTACTGCTCTAGATTAGTGTAGATTGGTGAAGAAATGTTCTAAATGTGCAGAGCACACAGAACTTAACAGACATCATAAAAGAGAATCATAGAAGTGTCGAGCCTCAGGATCATCAGGTCCAACAATTTTATACTCTTCCACAAAAAATCAGTGAGTTCCTCTTTGCAAATATGCTTGGACTCCAAATCTATAAAAGAGGTATAAGAGTGGATGCCTGAATGAAAACAGATGGGAGTAAAGGGCCAGGGTCCTCTCTGCTCTGATGACATCTTCACCCCTAGCCCCCAGGAGACTGTGTGGAAAACCATAGCTTCAAAACCAGTGATCTGATCCAACTCCCTCACTTATCCTCAAGGAAACTTAGTTCCAGGAAGGTCAATGAACCTGCCCACAGTCAAGCGGCAGCTTGTATAAAAGAGCTACAAGCTAAGTTTCCAAGTCCTGGTTCAGTGTGCTTTATCAGTGTTGTGGCAATAACCAAAATGCACATCTGTAGGGGAGATTCAAAATTATATATATAAAGAGAGTATAAAAATGTATATATGTTGTACATACATATATTTAACCACAATTATGGTTAATGAACATAACATTGCATAAAACACCGGGAAAGAAATCACATACTGACTGAAATTCTACTTGATGATGGGCTTGGGGGGCATTTTCTACTTCTCTCTCACCTACTTATCTTTAGTAAATATATATTAATTTTGTAATAATCATTTAAAATTTTAAAAAAGCAAGAGAAGTTAAAAATAAAAGACTGAGCTCTATAACAAAACATTGTGGTTAATGAAATGTGGCCTTTGGCGAAAGGCAGACCATAGTTTGACTTTCAGCATCTCCATGCATAGCCTACTATTTGAACTTCAGCTTACTAATCTGCAAAATGGCCATGATCAAATATCTCCTTCACAGGGTTGCTGTCAGTACTTTAAAATCCGCACATGAAAGTTGAGGATATACAATCCAGCACTGTTTCTGTTTTCTACGACTGAGGAGTACTCCACTGTGTGTGTACACACGCACACACATACACACACAAATCTTCTTTATCCATTGATCCATGGACAGACACTTAGATTATTTCCATACCTTGGGTATTATACATAATGCTACAATGAACAAAGGGAATACGCATATATCTTTGTGAATTAGTGTTTTCGTTTTCTTCAGATAAATATCAGAAGTGAAATAGCTGGATCACATGGTAGTTCTCTTTTCAATTTTTTTCAGACCCTCCACAGTTTTCCATAGTGACTGTACCAATTTACATTCCCACCAACAGTGAACACTTGCCCTTTGTGACAAGTATGTCACAGTATGTATGAACCTAAGGGTTATTATGCTAAGTGAAATAAGTCAGACAGAGAAAGACAAATATTGTATGATATAACTTATCTGTGAAATCTAAAAAACAAATTAATAAACACTACAAATCTTACAGACAAGAGACTGGTGGCTACCAGAGGGGAGAGGGTTGGAGGTAAGTGAAATAGATGAAGGAGGAGTCGATTATATAGTGACAGATGATAACTAGACTTACTGTGGTGATCAATTTGTAGTATATACAAGTAACAAATTATGCTGCAGATATAAAACTAAAATGTTATATGTCAACATGACTAAAAGTAAAATAATATTTTCTTACTTTCTCAAATTTTATATCATAACCAATAGCTACTGTTCGCTATAGCTCATGATGAAAATGCACTGTTCAACTGTGGACTAACTTCTTTTCTCAAAAGAATGTTGTATTAACTAAAAAAAACTTGCACAGATTTGTAAGTTTAAGAGCTAGAAATTAGGAATGACAGTGTTCCCTAAGTATGCTTTGTGGAATAATAATCTGAGAAAATGTTCCAAGTTTTAAAAAACCCAAATGAGCCTAGGAACTGCAGAGTTATCCTTCCAAGGGCCAACAGTACACATTAGTATGTCAGAATCACCTGGAAATCCTCCAGTAAAGACACTCTACCAGGATTTCTTAAACTGACCTCATCTGGGCTGTCCTGCTTTAAATCCTGTTTCCTCCCTAGTAACTATGAGCTCCCAATGGACCCACTGGGAGGTACAGGCACAAACAAGACCTGAACTCAGGCCTTCTGATTTCAAAGATCAAATTTGTCTCTACCAAACCCCTCAAACACAACCCTGGTATGAAAATGGACAGTATGTCCAACTCCCAACTTTCCAGACTAAACAACAACCAACCAAATGGTGGTGGAGCTTTGACAGCTGGTCCAGGCTTTGCAAAAGAGTTCTCTTTTGAGAGCTCACAGCACTTTGCACCTTCCTGACATATCACCTCATGCTTAAGGGTCTGTCTAGACTGCCCCAGGGGACTCTTAGGGGCCACGGAAGGGCTACAACCTTTAGCATCCACACGTCTCAACTTCAAAGGGGCCAAAAGGTGCTCAGTCAATATTGTCTCAGTATCCAAGGAAATGTCTCTTACAACTAGCAACATGTAGATGGTTTAATGGAAAGTAAACCTACTGAAAATGCCACTGATACACAAAACTGCTTTCAAACAATTTGAATGGTCAAGGAGAATAAGATGGGTATCCTCCAGAGAGAAATATGAAACCAAAGTTTCATCTGGCCACTTAAAAACCACTACAGAGGGGCTTCAATCACCACTAACCTACCTACAGTGACAAGAAGACATCTGTCAAATGGGAGTCCTAGCAGAAGGTCCTGTAGGAAAGAAATCTCTTGGCATCAGACCCAGGGCCTCTCCCCAAATATCCTGCAGCAATCAGGATAGAGCCAAGGGAATGCTCAACACCTTGAAGTGGCTATGAGAACTCTAAAGAAAAATTAGTGATTGAATGTTCAGGCTCAAAGAAATGAACATGGACTTTTCATATATACAAGTTCTTCATTTCTCCCCTTGCCCAATGCAGGAAGTCTACCAGGAGGGGAAAACCCCTCAGAACCACAAAGACCAGACCAAGGACAAGGTATTTTTTCACCTCTCTTTGATGGGGAAACACCGTCAGATAATATCCTCCTCAACACAATCTTCTTCAAAGTAGAAAAATATCAAATTGTAGGAGATAATCCAGGGCCATGACATACACAAACCACACACACATTCTGGCACTGTAAGCTTCTATCCAAATGAAAGAACAGTAATCTTGCAAAAAACAAGTCCATCAGGCAGTTTGAAATAACCAGTGAAATTCTTAAAGAGACAGCAAAATAAACCAATAGCTTCCATTAATTAACTGGGACAAAAAAACTCTTCACTCCTTAAGACAGTCCCTGTGATCCACCGCCCCCAACTTGGAGTGCTCCATCTACTCTGCAACAAGTCCAGATTCTTCCCTTAGTCTGTAAGGTCCTTCTCTGCAAGGACTTTCTGGGCCACTCCCTCACAGTCCTTCCCTGCTCTCTGAATTAGTACACCTCTAATATCGATGCCACGAAATACAATTTAAGTGTCTTGTGTCCAAGATGTGGTGGGAAGGGCTCCAGCTACCTCCCTTCTTGACAAAATCCTTTAACCTCTTCAAGCTCAGCTTCTGATGGAAAATGGCATTAACAACTAACTACCTTACCTGTCCTCACATGGGCTGCTACTGCTGTGATGATCATGTAAAAGGAATGAGAGCCATTAAATACTCCAAGAAATATGTCTTGTTCTTTTTGTAATGTCCTGCTTCCTTTCTAATGCCCACTGGGGCCCATAGTGACATTTCATTACTATTAAATGAAGCAGCCACTTCCAAATGGCGTTTTTAAAAGCCCAAATCATTTGGACACAAGAGTAGTAAGCACATCTTTCCAAATTTCATGAGAAAAGAAAGTTTCTTTTTCAAGCAAGATTTGAAGCGTGAAAATAAAGGCATACATGTTACTTTCCTGAAGCTAATACTGAAATCACACAATAAGGAAAAAACTCATTTCTACGGAAGTAACCATGAGACAGCTACTCAGTACTTTCCAGCCTTTTGGCTAAAGCTAAGACTAAGTGTAGTATGGGTGCTTCCCAAGTGGTACAGGGGTAAAGAATCCACCCGCTAATGCAGGAAACACAAGAGATGCAGGTTCGATCCCTGGGTCGAGAAGATCCTCTGCAGTAGGAACTGGCAACCCACTCCAGTATTCCTGCCTGAAAAATTCCATGGACAGGGGAGCCTGGTGGGCTAGA